ATGTTACCAATAAGAAGAAAGTCTCAATAAAAAATGTGCAAAGGGCTTGAATAGGAAATTCTTTCCCTCCAAATGGAAATCAAAATGGGAATAAATATATAAAAAGGAGTTCAACTGTATTAATATCACTATTTTCTGCCTCCACATTTTGTCCCACTGGAAGGTTTTTTGAGGCAGTTATATGCATGGAGCTGTCACCTCTTATAACAACATCATCTTTTAGAATACCCACTGAAGGACCTGCCTGAGACTGTTTTACAGTTAACGATTTTTTTAAGAAATAAAAAGAGTACACTCTAAAATCAAAAAGTCTAGTAAGCACATAAACCAGAAGCATAATTTATTGTTATTAAATATTATGTACTGTGCATAATTGTATGTGCTATACTTTATATGCCTGGCAGTGCAGTAGCTTTGTTTATATGAGCATCACCACAAATCTGTGAGTAATGTGCTAAGACATTATAATGACTGTGATGTCACTAGGTGATGGGAATTTTTCAGTTCTATTATAATGTTATGGTACCACTGTCATATATGTGGTCCATTGTTGACTGAATCATTTTGTGGTGTAGGACTATAAACCAAAAGTATATAATAACTTAGGAAATGCTTATTAATGAACTGTTAAGTGAAAAATAGTGAGTTCCCTTTAAAACATATACATACAATTTACATGTACCACAATAACCATCTGGATGAATTATCTTTCCACCTTTCTGATTTTCCTGGTTAATATATATTGATTATATATAGATAAAGCACAAATAATATTTTAAGAAAGTTTTTGCATAGTTAAGAAACTTTCTAAGCATGACATTTTAAAGCATCCAATTTTTCATGTTTGTCCTATTATGGGAACATTATACTTATCTTTTTTCTACCATATTTATTTCTGTTTTTTAGCAGCTGTTATTTAGGAGCCCTGTCTTTTTTAGTTATTTCATTTTAAATAACCATTTTTTTTAGGTGTTTGACATAAATGGAATTGATGTTACTCCTCGACCTCTTTACCATCCAGATCCACTTACTGGTACAGCAAAGCCAAATAAACTCTTGACATCACAAGAAGGATCACTTGGATCAGAATTTGTGTCTTCCTATAGCCTTTATCAGAATACAATAAATCCTAGTATGTTAGGGCAGTTTACAAGGTAGAGTATACTATCATACATTTCCTTTCTTCTATCATGTATATTGCCTTTCCATTTAAATCGCACATGTCTTAGATATCAGTTGTTTCCAGTCTCCCAGTTTCTCTATTTATTTATTTATTTAGTTAGTTTTTTTGAGACAGTTTCGCTCTTGTTGCCCAGCCTGCAGTGCATTGGCACCATCTTGGCTCACTGCGACCTCCACCTCCTGGGTTCAAGCGATTCTCCTGCTTCAGCCTCCCGAGTAGCGGAGATTACAGGCACCTGCCACCATGCCCGGCTATTTTTTTGTATTTTTAATAGAGACGGGTGTCACCATGTTAGCCAGACTGGTCTAGAACTCCTGACCTCAGGTGATGCACCCGCCTCAGTCTCCCAAAGTGCTGGGATTGCAGGCATGAACCACCCAGTTTTAATTATCATCTTAGTGTGCCATCTGTATGTTCCTCACATGTTTTAAATTAAATGCAGAGCTCTACGTCTTAAGAGTTCCCATACACTCACAACAAAACATTTGTGAAAAGTATATATATTTACTCAAGACTTCCTGAGCAACCAAAAGATGGGCCTAAAATCACATACAATTAATTTCAAATTCTCATTAGACATTTTTCATCAGCTTCTTTTGAGCTGCATTTTACAGGAAGAGGTGACTTTCCTTTTTTCCCCTCTTGTCCCATGCAAATCTCTGTTTTCCTAGGTTTTGGTTTCTCTCCTATTTTAGAATACACAGCAATTATATGCTGCTCTCGAGCTTGCCTTCAAATTTGCATACAAAAGTATAGGAGTGACTGGTAAAGAGAGATTTCAATAAACTTTACATCCTCTTTTGATGGGCAGTTGAGACTAAATAGGAACAAAAAAGAAAATATGAAATACCATGGGGTAGTGTTAAGTTCATATGTTTAAGGAAATTATTTTTGAATTATTTTATTGATTTCCTGATGAGTACACATATTTTAGTTAAATCTTGAGAAGGCCTTTATAAAATGAAATAAATAACATTTTTAAGATGACATTTGTACAGTGAACAGAAACCAAGTGAAAAATGAAAGGAAGAGTATTCCAGGCTGAGACTCTGAAGTTAGACAGCTCTGTAACATTGAGGAACTTAAAAAAAAAAAAAAAAAAAAGTAAAGGACGACTAATAATGAAGATGAATACGCTTGATAGATAAACTATACTTTGGATTTTTGTACTAAATGTATTGGTAATTCATTGAAGTATTTTAAGCATGGTTGACATGTCTTTCCTCTAAAATACATTTTGCCCAGGCATGGTGGCTCATGCCTGTAATCCCAGCATTTTGGGAGGCCGAGGTTGGCTGTAGGTCAGGAGTTCAAGACCAGTTTAGCCAACATGATGAAACCCTGTCTCTACTAAAAATACACAAAAAGATTAGCCAGGTGTGGTGGTGCAAGCCTGTAATCCCAGCTACTCAGGGGGCTGAGGCAAGAGAATCACTTGAACCTGGGAGGCAGAGGTTGTAGTGAGTAGATACCATTCCGCTACACTCCAGCCTGGGCGACAGAGTGAGACATCATCTCAAAAAGTAAATAAAGATATAAATAAGTAAATTTTAAATAATTTTTTGTTTAAAAAATATTAAAAACCAACTCATTGTTTAAAAATTAATGTTTTATCTATTTTGCTTATATGATCATAGTATATTTGTTTAATTTATATACTTAATTTCCCATAAGGACATCTAAATAAATGACTAATGTTGTTATTCATTATTAAAGGTCAGTTTTAGGAAGCAGTACAGTTTCTAAGTCAAGTGTATCAACAAGTGAATCAATAGCAGAAGACTTAGAAGAATCATCCTATAAACGAGAAAGATTGACTAGTTTCACAGGTAATGAAAATATACTTGTTTATTTCAGTAACAGTGTTTGCTTATTATTTTTTGGATACTTGAGATAAAAGAAATATGGTAATGATTTCCAAATGCTGGCTTGTGAAGTGCCTTCAAGAAAATTACCAGGGGAATATCTATTTTTTTTTAAGTTCTTTGGGTGACTTTTTAGAATCAGCCTGGGGAAGAACCACTGATGAGAGCTCAGCAGCCGTTGCTGCTGCTGCTGTCGTCGTCGTCGTCGTCGTCTTCTTTTCTCCTCCTTCTCCTTCTCCTTCTTTCTCCTTCTCCTTCTCCTTCTCCTTCTCCTTCTCCTTCTCCTTCTC